TTTAAGCTCGAATACTCAGCCATATCATACTATGTCCTATGTTCTAAAAAGAAGCGCAGAAAAAAAGCAAGATTTCAAATATGAAGATGGAAACCCTAAAACTATAAAAACCTTAAAATGATCAAAATAGAAAATTTTGCACTTGAATCACTAGAAGCCATACCGGGTTGTCTTTGATATCAACTTGAAGAGTATAAATTGCTTCAAATCGCAGCAAAATCACATTCAACATGCAACAATGGTTGCGATAGGGCTCCACTTCCTTTACTTTGTTTACTACTTTTGAACAATGGCTTTGTTTCAGTTCCCATTTCTTTTTTAGGCATTCAAATTTCACATGGCATCCACATGGCATGACTACTCACACATCAGCCCCACGTGTGCACCAATTATACAAACCCATTGATTTTGACTAACAATGTTGGCGATAAGGACTAACATGACACCATTTAAAAACTTAAGGGATCACTTTGGAACTTTTTAAAATTAAGGGACCAAATTGGACCCCAAGGTAAACTTAAGGGACCAATTTGGGTATTTTGCCAAAATAAAATTATAAAGTATTTTACAAAATTGACTCACGTTAATGGTGTTTTAAACTGGTCAAAGGCTCGAAAAGATCAAGTACACAATTTCTAATATTTATTCTCACCATGATTATCTCGAACCCTAAATTAACTTGCGCATTAGAGTACTAACAATGCAAGCACCTGTTCTTGGTTCACCGTATTAGAGATTAGCAACATCGATTCAAGATTAATGTCTCTGATTCAATGTGTATCACGATCGCAACCTTTGTTCCAAGAAGTCACATCACCGAATCGTTTACGAAACTTTTTTCCATCATAGCTTCCACAATCTTCTCCATTTATGGTTCCGCTACGAAAAGTGTTGTCGTCTGTGGAAAACGACTTCTGGTTCCTATGATTTCCACGAGAATCACATTCACTTCGAAAACGTCACCGAACAAACTCACAACTTCCAAATCTGGATTTTGGCGGTTTATATTCAGATATCCGATTCTCTAGCTACGACTTCCTCGGGTCACAAAATCGAGAGCGAATCAACCTTCGATTGCTTCATTTTCCATCTTCACTATTCATAACTCCCTCTAATATGAGAATCTGAGCCACTTTTTTCTCTTACTTAAAAATAACTCTTCCTCTCCCTCACACTTATCAATTCTACTTTTAATATAAGAAAATAATATACCACCATTTTTACATAATAATCCTAATTAGAACTAATTAAAATGGTTACTTTGTACCCTAATAATCATTTTATTCCCTAATTTACTTATTAATTATAACCTATTAGAATTTCACAATTTTCCATTTATTTTTTTCGTTAATCTCTAATTTGTAGTTTCCAATACATCAATTATACAATATATGACTCTTTATATTACATTTTTTTGTTCCGAAAATGGCATAAATTAAACTTTCTATTCAATTAACTTTTTATTTATTTCTATCATCTATTCGTATACTATATTTCTCCATCTCTCACAATCTATTTTGTTCATCTATTGCTCCAAATGTATGTTTTTATTTGTTATACATCTTACAATCTAATCAGTTGGAAAATTTAACTTTCAATTTATGATTTTCTCCACCATTAAAACTCTAATGTCATTGTTCTTGAACAAACCTCCATTTTTTCATTGTCATTGTTCTATATATAGAAGAGCGTATCAAATCCATCAACAAATTTCTTTTCAGAAAAGCCTATATTATATGGTAACACTCGAATTCTTTCAATCCCAAATTATTCATTGTTAGTTTTCAGATTTTGTTTCTCAATTGTTAGTTTTGTATTTCCTGATTGAAATATGAGTTTGAGTTTTGATTTTTGTATTTGTTTCTTACATTGATAGAGAAAGAAAAAATTATGGCATTTTGAACACGGAAAAGTCTTGGCGAAAATAAGAAAAAACAGATTTGAAATTTGTTACATTGATAATATATTTTAGGGTTTCTTCTTCATCTCTAATAATAACTTATATTTATCCATTTCTATTTTAGCTTCTTGTTTCTCTATTACAATTGCATATATGTCCGCTATGTGTGAGATAAAATTTTACAACGAACTCTCATCAAATTTTGCAGTAAACTCCCAGCTAACTTTCAAGAATGACAATGAAATATAATTGGTGTTACATGTTTTCTTCTTTTTTTTTTTATCTATTTCTACATAATATTGAAATGTGTCATTTTATTTTATTTTCTTTCTTAGAACAATTGTTTTGAGGAAAATACTAATGAGCGCACCCGGGACACTCATTAAAAAATTAAAAAGGCAAGCTAAACATTATTTAAGAGATTAAAAAAATAAGTTTTTTTTAAAATATACGTATTCATTCACTTAAAACATAAATAATTAACTTTTCCAAAGAATATTGTGTTTATTCAATGCACTGAACATATAACATTTTCTATATTTGAGATTCATGACCAGTGTTTTGAAGGCACTAGTTTGCATGACCCTTATTTTAATATGGCAAGGGTGAGTTATCCAACGTAGCAACTTTATACATTGTGCCTAAATGTATTTGGTAGTGACTCAAAATGTTTATTGTTTATCGAAAAAATTAAACTAAATGGTTAAGTTTTTCTTGATCTTCAATTGTTATGCATGTATTTCATTTGCAGAGAGAATCATGTTAGAGCATCCTTCGTGCTTTCCGAAATTGGACAAATACATATTAATGAGAGTGGTAATGGTAGCAGTTCTGCTGTCAATAATATAGTGGATGTTGACGATGAATGCTTAGATTACAAAATTCTGTGAGAGGACTTGACAATTGGAGATTCAATTGGGTAACGTGATATTGAATCACCAATGGTTATCATGCTTTGGTGCCCCCATATGTTTTCTATTAACATTCTATTGCTATTGTGCATGTTCTTTTGGAACTGTATACCATGTTATGTGGTATGGATCAATATGTTCTTTTCTCTAACTTTGATTTCTTGGTTTTAAGTTCATTTGTTATCACATACGCGACAACATATTTACGTTTTTCGAATCAATGTCAGTTCATGTTTTTCTTCTTCATGTTTATTGGTCTAGGATTGATAAGAGGTGGAACGTGATTTGAAACCTAAAGACTCCTCCAAGGATCAAAAAATTCTTATTACGCCTTTGTAGAAACTGTGTGCCAACTAGAATGAGATTGAAAAACAAAGGTGTTGATTGTTCTTCTAGCTGTGGTGATTGTGGGGACGAAAAGGAGAACTATGATCATTTGTTTCTTCAGTGTTCTAAGAGGATAGAATGCTGAGAAAGAGTGAGCGTGTGGTATAGGTTACATTACTTATCGAATAACGAATTTGATTTTGCTACTTTAATTTTCTCCTTTCTACAGGATTCTAATCAAGATCAACAAGTTGTATTCTCAACTATATTGTGGAGCATTTGGAAGTGCAAAAATAATTTTGTCTTGAACCATATTGATAACTCCACAGATTTCATTTGTCACTGTGCTTCTCACTTATTGACAGGTTGGAGAAATGCCTAATAGATCAGATTGAGGCTTACTATCCAACATCAAGTGGTTTTTGACTCCAAGTGGAGCAAACCTTCAGTTGGGCGGTTTAAATGCAACGTTGATGAAATCTTCTTAAATAACAAAGTTGGAATAAATACTTGTATTAAAGATGATAAATGGGTGTTTGCTGTTGTCCGGACAATGTTGTTCTCGCCTATTACTGAAGTAGACGTGGGCGAAACGTTAGGCCTTTTATACTCAATCAAGTGGGTACATGAGTTAGGTCTGGACAATGTAGATTTTGAGCTAGATGCTAAAAGTGTTCTGAATAGTGTAAACATCTAGAATTCTAATGATTCGGATTTCAATGTCATCACTAAAGAGTGTAAGTGCCTGTTAGTTATTCTTTATAGGAACTCTTATGTTAAGTTCGTTAGGAGACAAACCAATGAGGTTGCTCACGTTTTGACGCAAACGACTCCATATCTTTCTAGTTTTCAAAATTTTAATGATGTACTAATATGTATCCAAAGTTTTATTATTAATGAAATGTTATACATTTTTTCAGTCAAAAAAAAGATAATGCAGTATTATCAATGTTCATCACAGATGGATGACTGCAGAGACATGTGATTTTTAGGAAGAATATATTTGTTTTAAAAAATATTTGTTATTATTTTTTTTTGTTTATTTGTTTATATTTTATGAAATAAAAGAGTTTTTTTTAAAAATTTTGTGTGATTAAAATAAATAATTAAAATAACTATTTTTAAGAGTTTAGTGAAAAATATAAAACTAAAAGTTAAATATTTATTTAAAAAATTAAATTGATTAGACAAAATTAAAATACTGTTAAAATTAAATTAAATTGTATATTTTAAAATCAAACTAAACCGCAGTAAAAATATCTTTGTATCTTCTAATCTCGAATATGAATTTTTTTTTATAAAATTATTTATATATACAACCAGAGATTAATATATTTAAATTAAAGATTAATTATTATATATTATTCGTATAAAAAGTATTATATATTATTCATTGATATTATTTTATTAATTATTAAAATAAAAAATTAAATTTCTTCTAATACAGTATTCATTGGATTAATTGACAACGTAAAATCACTTTACACTCATTATAGTTGAATTAAATCCTTTAAATTATATCGAAATTTCATAAATAAATAAAAAACCCTATAATTGATTATTTTGTATTAGGAATGTGGTGCCGTTTCTTTATCTTTTTATCACGTGTAAAAGAGTGAGGACATGACTTTCCGGGCACCGTTACCAAACAGCAACACTTTCCTCTTCACACCACAACCGCCACCGTCAACCTCACCGTTTACCATACTCAGATCCATCGTCTCGACCAGGTTCCTAATTACTTCACTCCACGCACTCTCCTTCCGATTCACACTTGAAATGATTAGAGATTTATAGAATCACATGCTCAGTTTATGGTTGATACTTTATTGTGTGATGTGATGAAATGATAGAGATTTGATATGAAGAATGTTTTTCACCTATCTGTTTTGATTCTAATGAGGGAGTTATCGTGGCGATTTTTCGGGCACAAAATTGATCGGAGAAAGTTGCTTCTTCTTGCCGCCGTTTTTACCGTAACTGGATTTCTGTTTCAGTTTTTTGTTCATGGTTATGCAAACGTTTCATCATCCACCAATAGTACTGTACAGTCGAATGAGTTTCTTGAAGGGGAGATAATTCAACAGGTTCGCCTCACTCCTCCTCATTCTGTTGTTTCGCCAACTTCGTTTAACGAGTCGGTTCAATCAGTATCAGTTGAGCATGGCAGTGTTGTAGATGTTCAATCACAACGAAAGAAGAACAGAAATCTCGCGAATACGACAGTTACCGCGTCCTTATCGCCGCGAGGCCGTGTTCCTTTGGGTAAGCAGGTAGAAGTTGATTAGATTTTGAAGTTAATTCTTTTGTTTTTTAAAGTATATATGATATAATATGAGTTGAGTTGAGACTTCACCAATGTTTTGCTGGATATATATGTATGGCAGAGGGAGATTAGGTTGTTGCCACCTATTGAGGCTCTTGTTTATGCAAAGAAAGAGATTGATCATGCTCCTTTTGTGAATGAAGATCCTGATCTTTATGCTCCTTTATTCAAGAACATTTCTGTTTTCAAAAGGTACTCTTATTTATTTATTTTTTTTAATTTTAAATTGTGCATACTTATTCATGGTTTTGTTGTTGAATAGTGTTATGGTTTTAGGGGATGGTTATTGATTTCTCTGAATTTTTTTGAGAATTGTTGAAGAAAAAAAAGGAAAGAGACCAGTAAGGGTTGTATCCACCTTGAACTAAGCTAAAATGTGCATCGGGAGCTTTATCCACAATGATTTTAAGCTGGATATGTTTTTACTTGTTTACTAGAGAAGTTAGTTAGTTCTCTTTAGACGAGACTAGTCCAAAAAGTAATCACATTTTATTTAGAATTCAATGAACATACTACATCAATGGCAGCCATGATAGAATGAGTGGCGTATATTTAGACAACCGCCGTAGACAATATGTGAAGGAATGTCTGCCATGGATGTGCCATAAGCCGCAATGGTGTATATATATATGGCAGATTTTTGGCCTTTCACTATATCTTACATCATCTGCCATCGTCAACATTGAGTGTAAAACAGTTTAAAACTTACCTTCAATAAAACATCACGATTCATCCTTGTCATATCACTAACTTGAAACCACCCGTACAATAGTGTGCTGATGTGACAAAGTAATGTATTTTCATTAGAAGTCACTCTACAACAGTTTTGCACTGAAAATGCATATCCTTTAAATTCTTTTATTTAAGATGTAGAACAGATAACTGGAAGTTTTCCTTTTGACAAGGAACTTGCTTTACAAACACTGTAATAAGCTCCATATTATGTAGTAACCTAAAGCTTATCAGATGTTTACAATGAAAATCTGTTCATAGACCCAATAAAATCGAGCACCCGAAAAAATTATTCCTATTCTAATCTAGAATAAGAATATATAGTCCAATCTATACCGTACATGCTTGAACAAATGTGATGTTAAATTTTGTTGTGGAGGGGAGTGTAGTCCTTTCTTATACCCATAGAACTCATTATATTTTTCTTAATGTTGGCTGATGATTTGTTTTTTGTTTTTTTTTGCTACTAGGATGTCTGAAAACCACCATTCATTAAATTATTCCATCAAAGCAACAAAAAAATATAGTAGCAGTATTACATAAAGCCCTCTTTCTTTGAATATTTATTCATCTAAGTTAGGAGAGACCACTTGACTTAGTGTTCAGAACCAACAACCTCAAATTTGATCTTTTAAGTGATGTCACATGGATGGTTGTGTTACATCTCTAATCCTACCCATGAAGCAAGATCCTTTTAAGTTTGAAGCATGGGAAATACATAAATTCACTTATCTCACGTTAAAGTTAGCTTTCTTTTATTAGAGGTATGGGGTTTGCAAGGATCAAATTCTAAACCACTTGGTCATAGAGTTTATACTATGTCATGGGTTAATTATCATAAAAGCTTAAACTCTTAGCTGAAGACACATGGGTTGTAGGTACAAGGCATACACTCACCTCAGAATCTGAAGACTTAGGCATGAAGGCCTTAACTTCTGGACTACTTGGTCTAGAACCACCCAACCAACCTAACTTTTATTACTAGTAATGATACATCTTTCCAATTTAAAGTTTGAAAAGTTATTTTTCTGCAGTCACATTAGCGACTATGGTCAATGTCTTTTTACCTAGTAAATATTGTAGTTTTGATGCTGTCTAGAATTTTAGTATCTTGTAAAACAGATTTAAACTGTTGGGTCCAGTTACATCATTGTTTTCTATAATCATCACCACCAAGTATTCTAGGTCGAAAACTTGGAGAGCTGATTGTGTAACTTGTTGGCTGCAATTTGCTGAATATTGCTGTTGGCTCAATCTGCTGAATATTTGCTGATTATTTCTATTGGCTGTAATCTGCTGAATACTTTGGTTTGTGAGTTGCATTTACTGTGTTAGAACTATATTGAAATAATACCGTCCTTCAATTTCAGGAGCTATGAATTGATGGAAACAATACTTGAAGTTTATATATATCGTGATGGGGCAAGGCCTGTTTTTCACAACCCTCATCTTAAGGGAATATATGCTTCTGAAGGATGGTTTATGAAGTTAATGGAGAGAAATAATCAATTTGTTACCAAGGATCCTGAGAGGGCGCACTTATTCTATCTCCCGTACAGTGTACACCAAATGGCTTTGGCACTCTATGTGCCTGAGTCACATAATATGAAACCATTATCAATCTTTCTTAGGGACTATGTAAACAAGATTGCTGCAAAATACCCCTTTTGGAATCGCACACATGGGTCAGACCATTTCCTTGTTGCATGCCATGATTGGGTAGGTGTCTGTTTTCCATTGAATGGTTGATTCCTGATAATTTGATTGCTAAGATTGATAGTTGTTTGAGATTATTGGGATTTTAAACTCTTATATTTTTGTTCTTCCATCCATGCTTTTCATTGATTAGATGGAAAATGAAAGTGAGTTTATTTAGCAAAAATAAATTTAAAATGGCTTTGATCCATAAAGATGCACCAATGTAATAAAGAATGATGGTGCCGATGATGCTGATGATAATACTGATAGAATAACCTAGGGCCACATATCTCCCGTCACGACAACGAAATAAATTCATGCTTAATCTCCCGATGTATTTCAATTACTCCTGCAACTGGTTAATTCCCTTTCATAAATTTCAATTTCCCTTCAACAGTTGATAGTCGTCTATTACCTTGAAAATGCAATAATGCAAAGCTCTATCATGTTGAGTGTGGAGGTATGCAACATCTTTCACTTGTTTTCCCGTGGGCTATCACACTTTTTTCAATGATTACTGAACAATGAAAAACACTTTGGTGAACATTTGTTTTTCTTGAAATTTTCAAAGACATCTCTTATATGCATGTGAATACCCACAAATGTTATTGGTGGGTTACTGACTACAGGAGGCACAATCGGTAGTTAATGCATGGTTGAAATCATATTGACAAACATATTTCCCTTTTGCAGTATAGTCTATTCAATGCCATCATATTGGAACCTGATCAATTTAATTTTTGTGTGTTATATTATCGAAATCTTCGTCTTTTTTTGATGCCTCCTGTTTGAAACTTCCATTTGCAGGGTCCTTACACTGTGGCTGAACATAAAGAACTAGCCGGAAACACCATAAAAGCTCTATGTAATGCTGATGTGTCTGAAGGAATCTTCGTTGCAGGAAGAGATGTTTCCCTTCCAGAAACTACCATAAGAGCACCAAGAAGACCTCAGAGATATCTTGGTGGGAATAGAATATCATTACGTCCAATCCTTGCATTCTTTGCTGGAGGCATGCACGGTAGAGTCCGTCCCACTCTTCTTAAGTACTGGGGTCGTGAACAAGATGAAGACATGAAAATCTACAAGCATCTACCTTTGAGAATCTCCAAAAAGATGACTTATATTCAACACATGAAATCAAGTAAATATTGTTTATGTCCAATGGGCTTTGAAGTTAATAGCCCTAGGATAGTTGAAGCCATATATTACGAATGTGTTCCTGTGATCATTGCAGATAATTTTGTTCTTCCACTTAGTGAATTTCTCGACTGGAGTGCTTTTTCAGTGGTGGTGGCTGAAAAGGATATTCCGAGGCTAAAGGAAATTTTGATGTCCATTCCTATGAGAAAATACGTTGCAATGCAAAATAATGTGAAGATGGTACAGAAGCATTTTCTTTGGAACCCAAAACCAATGAGATATGATCTCTTTCACATGATTTTACATTCAATATGGTTCAACAAGCTACACCAGATTTGAACCCTGCAAATATAGATGGGTAGCATGCAAGACTCTAGCAGCCTTTACTGCTTCGTGGCTGGATTCATATTTAGAAATTTGTTTGATTAGAAATATGGTTAATATTTTTGAAGGCTCTCTTATTTTCCTTCTTTTTGAAACCATTAAATCCTTGAACTCTGCACTGTATCTTTCATACAAATACAAACCATAGAGGGAAATATCTTGTGTTCATAGTTATTGTATCCGGCAGGGTAAAAAATTCAATGCATGATAATTATTATTGGGAAAAAGGAAAATTGTTGTACGAATGAGTAAAAAACTTAGTAGCTTTCAATCAGTTTCACTATTAATTTCTTCCCTGAACTGTCCACTATATGGTGCATGATCTGTTCGAATTTATGATCACTGATCATCTTCTTGCTACCACTCATGTTTTGTTAATTTTAGTGAACATATTGCAGAACCCTTACAATTTTTAAAGCAATTAAAATTTTGGCTCTAAATTGGCCATACACCATTAAATAACCCTTTTGTAGTTCTCTAAAATCAAATAGATAGTTTTATATATATTCTGATAACAAGTAATGACACAATTTACTACATATTTACTTTAACAAAAACCATTATTTCCATGTTACAAAAACTAACTAAAATAATTCTCCTACTTTGAGATCGTGACAACATTTGCAGAAATTACAATTGCAATGTGATTTTGCACCTAGATTAGATCACAGTTAAGCCAAACATGTGCCTAGAAGCATAACAGAACAGCTTGTTTTCCCTTGACAGCACATTATACTTCAATGGAGCTACTTAACTACAACAGTGCTCACTCAGATATTTGTGTTTTAAGGAAACTGAATCTGCTCGAATTCCAAGAGTTCATTCACCCAATCAAACTCATATGATTCATCATTGGAAAAGTCTAAGAATTCATTCACATCAAAGATAGCATCTGAATCGACACTTCCACTAACTGAATCTTTATTCTCTAACATAACACTATCCCCAATAATATTGTCTTGAACTATAGTTTCTTGTGTTGTGGAAGTTTCTGGTTTTTCCTCAATGTGACTAGCTTTTTTGCACAAATGAGAATTCCAATAGTTCTTAATTTCATTGTCGGTTCGTCCCGGAAGCCTCCCAGCAATCAAAGACCACCTTCACATACCAAAAATTCCATCACCAAAAAATATGATATGACAACTACATGTGGTACTAATACTTCATACTAAAGCTGTGTCTGGTCAGGGACATGAGTGTGTACGTCTAGTGTCTATATTAGTGTCCGTATTAGTGTTTCGGCGAGAATATGACAAACCTGTTTCCTAGAAGTTTGTGAAGCCTAAGAATCAAATCCTCTTCTTCATCTGAAATGTTGCCTCTCTTGATATTTGGTCTAAGATAGTTCAGCCATCTTAACCTGCAACTCTTTCCACACCTATTCAAACCTACAAAAAGAAAAAACTTGCAATACTTACTTTGTTTCAAGTTACAATTATTTCTTTTTTACTTGTCTTATGATTACTATTTTTTTTTACCTGATTTGGCTGAAACAGTTTTCCATTTCTTGGCACCATGAGTTTGAATGCAATGAGCTAGCTTTTGATCTTCCTCTGGGGTCCATGCTCCTCTATTCATTGTTTTCTTAGTTGGTCCATCTTTTCTGCAGGGTGCCATAACAATGAGACTTTGTTTTTTTTGGTGTTGTTGAGAGAGTAAGAGAAATAGTGTAGTAGTGAAGGTTAGTTAAGAGAACAAGTTTTTAAAAGAATGTGAAAAAATGATATGTTTATATATTGGAATGTGGGTGAGTACCATATGTATCTACCCTTCATGAGAAGGGAAAACCCAACCACCCGTTAGTTGTAGAATGTAGGGGTACAATTATAAATTACATAAATAGGAAGCCTTTGTTGTGTTAATAATTTAATTAATGGACTACGTGTATTGATTTTAATCATAAAACAAACAGGAGGTGAGTCCAGACATCCAGATCTTGTGGAGGTGGGGGATAGTAATAAAGCCTATTTCATTTTGTTTAGCGTTTTTCAGAAAAATGTTCTTCTTTTTCTTCCCTAAATATGATCACTATTATTTATTCCACTTTTATTAAAATTTTTAATATATATTTAGTTAATTTTAAATTATAAATATTTTTAAAAAATTGATTAAGAGTTTATTAAAAAACAAATATAATTAATAATTTTAGAAAATTTAGATTGTCCAATTAAATAATCTTTATTACTAGTTAAGTAGATACATCTAATCGCAAATGCATCCGTTCAAACTTGCAAAAAATAATCTCACTTGTTGCTCTTTAAAATGCAAAATATCAACAATCAAATTACTTTATAAAATGAGAGAGTTTACGTCAGGATAATCCTCATTACATAGAAAATACTTATTGGGGGAGTTTTTTTTATTATGGAACGTTGAACATTGTGAGATTTTTTATTGGACAATACATTGTGAGAGACACACCACACATTCACCAAAAACCTTAAAGTGATAGGTGAGTGAGTTCTCTCACTTATAAATGTTTAAGTTTTCAACTAATGTGAGACTATTAATCACACTACTCACACTTGGTATATTCTCAACACCTCTCCTCAAGTGTGAGTCCATAATGCCCCCTCAAGTGAAAGCTCTTCTTACTTTCACAAACTCTTGTACCGCATGTAACGTTTCTTACTCATCACCTTTGTGGCACCGTTGACACTCTTTATCAGAACGTTTCTTACTCACCACCCTTGTGGTGTCATTTGACTTTCGATACAAGTAAGTCGGTCTCTTTCTCGAATCAAAGGCTCGTGATACCATTTGTTGAAGGAGTTTTTCATTATGAAGCATGGAACATTGTGAGACTTCTTTTTTAACAACACATTTGTGATAGCCACACCACATATTCACCAGAAATCTTAAAGTGATATGTGTTGAGATACTAGATATAATCCAAGTTGAATTATGTGGCCCAAACTCAAAGTTAATTAGAGATTAGAGTTTGTTACTTAGTTTGTTATATTTATTGCTTGGTAGTCAAGTCACTTAGGTCTATATAAATAAGACACTTTGTAATTCAGTTATTATCATTCATTCAATAATATCAATCCTTATTTTTTTATTCTTTATCTTTCTCTCCTCACAAAAAGTGTCTCACGCACTAATAATTTGGTATCAGAGATCTGGTTAGATTCTTGATCGTGTTTTCAAGAATCACACGTTAGAAATCGTATTTTCCGGATCGAGGTTTTTTGTTGATCAATCGCTGCAAAGACGAATGGTAACAGAAATTTACCAAACTCCCTTCCAACTCTTGACGACAAGAATTGACTTCGATGGAGAAAACAAATGCAATCTCTATTTAGATTTCATGAAACCCTATAAGTGGTTACTAACAGTGTTCCTGCATTTGGTGAAGATGCAACCAACGCACAGAGAATCGCTTACAAGGATGTCAAGAAGAAGGATCACAAGGCGACATTTTACATCCAATCGACGGTTGCTGCAATTATTTTCGACAGAATCGCTCATGCTGAATCGGAGAAGTAGGCATGAGATATTCTTGTAAAGTACTATGAAGGAGGCGAGAAAGTCAAGGTTGTCAAGTTGCAAACTTTGCGACAACAATATGAAATATTGTCGATGAGAGAAGATGAAATGATTGTAGGCTATGTGTCGAAGGTGCAGAAACTCGTCCATCTCATGAAGGGTTGTGGTGAAACCATAACTGATAAGATAATATTTGAGAAGGTAATGCACACGTTGACCTCTCACTTTAATCACGTTATCCTATCTATTCAAGAATCCAACAATATTGAAACCCTAAAACTGGAAGATTTAATTGGTTCGTTAGAGGCGCATGAGATTAGGATTTTCTAAACGAAAGGCATTCAAGACTCGATACAAGCACTAAGGCTCAGTCATGGAAGAATAATGGTGGTTCTAACAAGTTCAAAGAAAAAACCTACAAGACTCAAGGCAAGAAGTCTTGGTCGAACCCTCATAAGAATAAGGTCGATGATAAAGATTCTGAATCCTCGAAAAGAAGAGAAGGAAATTCCTATCAGAAAGACAAAGAAGAGAAAAAAAGGTGTGCAGTGCTATAACTATGAAAAATGGGGTCACTTGTCCAAGCATTGTTGGTACAAGAAAGACAAGGGATTGACAAAAGACAAGGAAGAAGGTGTGAACCTTGCACGTCAAGATTCTGATGATTCTGATGATATGGTGGTTATGGCTGTAGTTGTAAATGAACATGTCGAATCTAAGATCCGGTTCCTCGACTCAGGCTATTCGAATCACGCGACTGGTAAAGAACAAGCGGTTATCAGATTTCGACAAGTCGAAAAAGAGCAAGGTCAAACTTGCTGATAATAGCTCATTGCAAGCAGAAGGCAATGGCGATATAGTTATTCAAAGGAGTAATTGAGGAAAAACTATGAGCAAAGATGTACTATATGTACCTGTAATGAAGTGCAATTAGCTAAGTGTTGGATAACTAGTCAAAAAAGGTTTCTCAGTGATCATGAAAGATGGAGTTGTGGAATTGTTCGACACTCATACTAATTTGGTTTTGAAATCTCCTTTGTCGAAGAATAAGACATTCAAACCATGTCCAACTCGACTGAAGTACAATGTTTAAAAACTGTTGTCGACCACAAGCATGGTTGGCTGTGGCATTTGAGGTTTGGACATTTAAACTTTCGATCACTCAATCAATTGATTACTCAAGATATGGTAATCGGTATACCAAGTCTGGAGATGCCCGATAAACTCTGTAAAGGGTGTCTAGTCATAAAGAAATCCAGGAAGTCTTTCGTTTCGACTATGCCAATGAGAGCCTCCTGCATCCACGAAGTTGTACATTCAAATGTATGTGGTCCTTTTGATGAGCATACCTTTGGTAGAAACAGGTATTTTGTTTTGTTTGTCGACGGGTTTAGTCAAAAGATGTGGATATATTTGATCAAGATAAAGGACGAAGTATTTGAAATCTTTAAGAGATTCAAGATGCTCGTCGAAAACCAGAGTGAGAAGAAGATTAAAGTTCTGTGAACAAATGGAGGTGACGAATACACGTCCAAGATATTTGAAGCATTCTGTGCAAAACATGGTGTTTATCATAAAGTAACGGCTTCATCTACTCCTCAACATAATGGATAGCAGAAAGAAGAAACATGACCATATTGGACATGGCGAGATGCATGCTGAAGCAGAAGAACTTGCCAAAATCCTTATATGGTGAAGCTGTTTCAATTGTTGTTTATATTCTAAATAGGTGCCCTACCAATAAGCTAAAGAACAAGGCTCCTGAAGAAGTATGAAGTGGAAAATGAAATTTCACTTGGATGTGAATCGGCATTTTTGAATGGACCTTTAGATGAATAGTTGTACGTCACATAATCTCCTGGGTTTATGATTCAGGAGGAAACAAGTAAAGTATACAAGTTGCACAAAATGCTCTATGGTGTCAAGAAGACACCTAGGGCATGGAACAAGAAGACCGACTCATACTTTGTCGAATTGGGATTCGTTAAATGCAAATCTGAGTGTCTATGTTCAGGTTGTGGTATCCCTCTCTTGTCGCATCTCATTCAAAGCAAACTGAAGTTTCTCTGCATCATTCATAAAAATAAGAACAAGTGTTCTAGCAGTTAGAGGTAAAGGCTCTTGACGTGGATAAGGAATCTTCAATGTGATAGCTCTAGCTTGTATCCATTGGAGATAAGGCTCCAAAGAAACACAATTTGGATTTCCCAAAGCTTCCCTTCCTTTTTTATGGATGTGACGCCAAGCCGGCATAATCTTCTCCTTAAATGCTTTGTTGTCTTCACCCTCTTTGAAGAAGAAACCCTCCAAATGGATATTGCTTAGTTTGTTTTTCATAGGATACCCCAGCTGACGACGAGCCAAAACCGAGTTGTAGATAATGCCTCCCTTTGTACCAAGAAGAGGTACATTAGGAAATTTACCATAACTATCAATGATCATCACATTATCATAATCACGATTGTATCAAACAATGTCTGAATGAGTAAGTGACATGATTTTTTGTGACCATAATAGACCATCCTTTAGGTCCCAAAAAGCAAAAGACTGAGGAAAGTGAGAAATAAACCACTTATATAGCAACGGTACTCAACAAGTAATCATCCCTCCACCATAAGAATTCCTGAGATGAACACTGTGATAGGCATCAGTGAGTAGGGTGAGAATTGGGTTTCTAATCAAGAAGATCTCGATAGCATTAATGTCGACAAAGTTGTCAACATTAAGAAAGAGAAACAATCTACAAATAAGCAAGACAAAGATATCTTCGAAAGCGTCCATACTCATCATGTTAGCAAAGTAACAAGCCATATCCATCAGAAACATATCATGTAACCCAAGAATACATCTCTTGGTAACCATGTGAGCTTTAATCTCGGATACCTTCGAATGAGTAGCTTTAGAAATATCTTGATACTTAGGATTCTCTTCCAAACTAGAAAATGGGATTCGATCACAAATAGGCAATCCAAGTAGACTAGAATACTCGTAAAGCATGGGCATGAGTTGGTAATCGGGGAACGTGAAATAGTGGTACACTGGATCATAGAATTAAATGGAAGTAGCTAGAACCCCATTTACCATATCGATCTTCAAAAGAAACAAAATACTTCCATATCTATCTTTGA